TTGAACATGATCTAAAAGGTAAATGAGACGAAGTTAATCAGGAAATCTTTTCATCTTCATGATTCATTTGGTGCAAAATATTCAGAAAAATAAAAAAACAGAAAACGTCTGCTCGAATTAACTTTTCAAACTATTTAAATAATTGATTCCATGCCACATTATATGTCAACTGTTTAATCATGTTCCTGAAGCAACGACTGCGAGTTTTACAACATCTAGTCATTGCTAGATTAGTCTGAAATTCCCAAACTTTTAGGTAGTTATCTCCCTTTACCACAGACGTGAACGTATATTGTCATCGCCCCTGTCCGTCCGCCCACAAATTTGTTTGTGAAAACTCTACAGGTCACAATTTTTATCCGATTTTGACGAAACTTGAAATATAGGTTTATCTTCTAAAGATCTTGGTTACAGTCGTTGAAAGCTTTTTATACGCCCACATATGTTTTTGTCATCAAGATCTTGGTTCCTATTGATAATCACACATATCCGAATATAACTTCCTGAATTATGGCCCCTGAATGGTCGAAAAATAGCATTTTTAGCTTGTGGATCTTTTTTCCGATTTTAAAAACGTTTAGATATAGTACCATTCCACCATAATGAAGGTTGAATTGGAATTTTGGGAAAATCGAAATGAAAGTGCCCGTCAAAATGGCTGCTCTTTGTACGCAAATTGTGTATAAGTATGTAATACAATGGTTATGGACCCTCTAGAGGTCACAATTTTTATCCGGTTTTGATGAAGTTAAAACATATCTTTATATTCCAAAAATCTCAGTCTCTTTTAATATTTGTGCATTTCAGACCATAACTTTCTGGATTATGGCCCTGATTGTACAAAAAAATCATTTTTGTTTTTAGCTTGTTCTCTATCCATCTCTTGCAAAATGTGGGCGTATCCTGCCTGGCAGCCGCTGTTGTTTTTTTTTTTTAGTTGGAAAACTGACGGAAAACCAAAGAAAAGCAAACTTGCTAGCTTAGTGGAAGAACAAAAAGTCAATTAGAAAGGTTTGGACTAAGATAATCATAGCCGAAAAGCGAAAGTTGCAGCAGCCTTGACATTGAACAAACCTTGAACTTTGCAACTCAGTTATCACAGCTAGACATTTTAGTTGGAAAGTGCACGACTTGGTATTCGAAATGATATTTTCTATCGAGGAATCTGAGAGGTCCCCACCTTGGTCAGGAACCAATCAAAATTAGTTCCGAAAATTTGTAAGGTATTTACATGAAGACCTAGCGAGATCAAATTTCTTATTGAAAATGCTGTTTAATAGACTTTGCAATCATCCTAAGTTTTGATTTAAATTTGGAATGGTTGGTTTGTAGTTAGGCATCCTGTGACTCTCAACATGGAAACGAAAAAGAGATTCATATTTGTGGGTAGAAATTAGAGAATTTAATTTTTGTGGATTACTTTTTAACAAGCAGTTATCAATTGAAATGATTTAGGTAAATAGTCTGTCACGTGTTGGAAGTCCAGTATAGCAGGCTCACTAACCAGGAGGTTCCAGGTTCAATCCTGGTGTTGGCCGAGAATGGTCTTTGGGATTTTCCGTCGTGGTTACCCTTTGTCAGTGTTGAAGGACAGAGAGCCTGGCATAGAAAAGTGTTGAGTATTTAGGATAGGACAAAAAAACTTGGCTTATGTGTACATGAATAGCTCTGAAGTTTGTTGTTCCGTCCAAAAGACTAGACATACTTTCCTTATGAGACTAAATTTATATTGTTGTGATGTGGTATAAGGTCAAGGGGTGTTGGATGGCTGAATGGTTAGCATGTGTGCGTGTTGTATTATAAGGTCGGTCACTGAGTCAGCTGGAGTGGTTTCAGTTTCCTGGTTTTACGTGACAAGGAGTAGGGTTGCCTGTCCAACCTTGTGGGTTTTCTCCGGATTCTCCTGTTTGATCTCACTGCTAAAGACCCCTACACACAAGCAAATTATTGAAATAAAATTGAACCATATGTTAGTCCCAAAATGACCTTTGACATTTAAATATAAATGCAACCTATTTACTTCATTTAAATTTTTAAGATTGAATAATCCGATAATAAACAAGGAACTGTACACTGTCATGTACTTAAAAGGTTTTATTATGCATATAGATCTTTGGTCAAATATTTAATCAAGCCTGATTGCCCTTGATGTTATAAAAAGCCATTGGTCAGTATTCACAGTGTTCTTGACTCATGACATTTCTTTTAGTATTCAGAGATGGTTATTTCTTCAATGTGTGCATGTTGATTGAGAATCTCAGATGTATTTCTTCTTTCTTTCATCTTCTTTTATGTGGTCCTCTGTCGATTTTACAATCTCTTGTATTTCATCTCATATGGTGGACAGTTTTTATTCAAGCTGATTTATCTGAATATTCTAAACTTGAATGCATTATAGCCAAATAACTTCTCACTGTCTGTAAAGCATGTGTGAATCATTGAAAAGAAAAGGATATTCAAGACTTGCAAGAAAATTATTTTGAATGCCAAATTAATTAAAAACGGGAAAATTTCTAAGAAAAATAAACCTTTAAACTCTAAGATTCATGAACATTTGAATTTGATCAAGAAAACTAAATTGTTTCATTTAAAGATATATTCCCGCGTACAAACTGGGTGATTTAATGGTATATATGGACTAAAAACATATTCAAACTAGTTAATTTGTCATAATTTTGCTTCAAATCCTTCTCAAACATTGTAATTGCGAAGGAATGCCCTGCTGTAAAAATTTGATCAAACCAGGTCATGTTTATGTCACGTGACTTAGCTCTCTTGGAAGTCAGAGGAAAATTCATTGCATACATAAGACGATGTTGTCTTTAATCACTTATTATTTTTTACAAATATCGAATCCTAATTAAATTCTCGGATTATCGTCTACCCGCGTCTTTTTTCATCATTTTTATCTCAGAAAGTGTTGTACGTCTAACTCTTCATAAAGTTTATCAACTTGTACATCAAGCGCTCAATGTTCGCATGTGACCTTTGACATCACGCGTGCAGAAATTCCTAATCGTCGGTCTATCGATTAGGGGAACCCTTACATTTTTGTCCTGTGTACGCTCCATGAGTGTTTTTCGGGGAATCCACTATTTTTCTAGTAAGATTGGATATCTCTACTTTCCATATATACCAAAATTGCCATACTTTTATTGGAAATAACCACCCGATAAATACTTTTCTGGGAACCCATCTTTAAGTTTTCTCCTTGGCTTTAATATCACAATGCTTACACTGATAATTCTAAATGATTTGACTTTATTTTAACGGAAATGGCAGTATTTTCATAATGAATGATTGCATTAATCTTAGTTTTCACACTGTCTTATATAATGTGCTTAGTTTAATGTTAAATTAAACCTATATAGTTATAACTTGGGGATTGCTAAAAGCTTTTTTCTGCCTCTTTAAAATGTCATATATCTAATTTGGGTATGTCTAGAACAATTAAAGGAATTAAAGCTTCACCTCAATAACTACTTACTACAGATGATATGAATAGGCTTAATGTAAGTTCTCTGTAGTTTATCAGCTGCAGACTTGGTAGTTTCAATTTTTTCTTCCTCCTATCTTTTTCAATTGATAACTGCTAAACCAGTACTGCTAGATTTCAAAATGATTTTTTGTTCTCGGTGATAAAAGGCTTGCTGGTAGCTTTAAATTTGGTGAAAATGAAACACATTTTTGCTATTCTCCAGCTGGTGAGAGCATTGTGTTGCCGCCGGCTTCTCATAAAATTACAATTTTATTTTATCCTGAATAGTTTGTGTTTCAAGATAACTAGTGAAGAAAAGAATGTAAAACTAGTTGTGCTTTCTCTGTTTACAAGAAAATTAGGTATATTTTGAAGTCAGATATCATTAGAAACATTAACAAAACTCTCTCTTTAAAGAGGTTGGTGTTGTGTATGAGGCAGTGTATGCTTATGCATCTAGAACACCTGATTCCACCACTTGTTAGGGAAGATCACATTCCTGTTTATTGTACTTTTGTGTTGTACATGTACTTTGATAATTTTGATTGTAAAAGGTTTTTGAAATTTTCAAGAACTGATAAATAGCAAAATGTGTTTTTTTTATTTGTAAATTTAAAACTTTTGCCATGCATAATATTCTTTGTGATTGAATTATGCAGATATGAACAATATGATGGTGTGATAATATTAGAAGAACGAAGATTAATTCTAAGCCTTTATCAACTTTCATTTTATAGTAGTTACTATTCAAACAAAGTTCTCTTTGAAGTTGGCTGTGATAATAACTTTTCATTTTATGATACTTAATGTTTCCGTTTTTAAAAGCCATTAATTTTCAATTTGCCTCACTGAACATACATTTTGAGTGTTTAATGTGGGTCTATCTGAAATATGAAATTTTTCTCCCTTTTCTATGCTTATGTGACCTTGATTATAACATTTTGTGGAAGGATAATTACTTTTAATATGCTCAAACACATTTTCTGCATCAATTACGATTAGGATGATCGAACGAAGCTTTCGAATGACACTTTGCTTGTTTGATCTATTTCCATGTTTGTTGACAGAAAATACATCTTGAAGTGTTTTTTGTGTAATTTATAGTCAATGTACGTGTTGCATTGTGTAACTTGTGGCTCTTCTTTTGATGTTGAAAAACCCTTTTCCTCTATTCAATATTGTGCAGCTGTCAACCCCTTATATAATGATTTCTGCTTCTATAATTCATTTCTCATATTTTATTACCTCCCTTATTAAAAAAAGTCTTATTTTCAGGTTTCTTGTTTGTATTAAGGTCCCTAACGTGTCTGTGTGCATTCTATAAAATTTTATGAAAGTCCACACCAAGTATTTACATCTGGAAGCTTTGTAGTTCTCTCCCCAGTTACCATGATGCTTTACAGGCAGCAAGAGTGTCAAATGGATACAGCCATTTTGTGCTGTTACCAACAGATGTGCGTAATGAGTGTTTACTGTCTGTGAGCGGCAGTCTCAAGATCCATAAATTATACACTGTCTGCCTGTATGGATTGCTCACTCACTGAAGCAGCAAGCACACTCATCTCTCTTTGGGCTTTTAATCTTCTACACACAGGCTTGCTGTACAGATTTTTCTAACTGTATATTTCAAGCCTGCTACACTTCTATCATATACCAATGTTGGATTTTTTGTGGATTTTTGTCTTATCAGTGGATTTGTGTGAAATCTTCTTTGTTTGTGGGTTATTGTGAAAAAGCTGATTTTAATTGACAGAAGACTAACAGCTTAACTAAAGGTGAGAGAAGTTTCAGAAACATGATATGGCCAATCATTCAATTATTGTTAGCTTAAAGTGCTGGGCTACAGTTGTAAATAGAGGATTTGTCACTCACTAATTTTATGATGGATTACAATGAAAATATAAAAGAATAAATTTGAAGTAGTTTATATTGCCTTTGTTAGCTTGGTTTATTTTGTCAATTGAGTAATTCTGTCATTGTTATAGAGACTATCTGAATTTATGCTATACCAATTTTAGGATGTAAAGTCTTATTGTTGTAAGGTATTTGAAAAGAAATTACAAAGGTAATTTAGGAATTTCATTTTTTTTTATTTATGTGAACAATGATATGTTAGGTTTTATTACCTTTCACATATCAATGAATATTGAGTTTTAAGTTTTTCAACGTTTTATGTGGTAACCATGTTGAGACTGGTGTAAAATATATAAGTTTTACGAGACAGAATGTACAGAGTATTTACAGAGTAACATCAAGTAAAAACCTAATCCCTCTCCAAACTTTGATTGCAAGTATATGTCAACTATTTATCTTCTTTCAGTCATCTCTTCTGTGGTGAATTTCAATTTTCTTTTGTTAATGTCAGTCTGTAGTAGGGTATACAGCAAGACATTAACGTTGATCTATTGTATGGTCTCTCTCTCACTGCACAATGTTTTTATATGTGTTTTTTGGGGGGATATAAACTCATTGAATTGAAATGTATAGACAATGTTATAATAGCTTTATAGAAAGTTCTACGTGTAAGTATTCAGTGCTCCAGATAATTTTCATAGTAAAGAAGTACAATGATCCCTCATTTCCCACTGTAAGAGTACCTGCGCCTCTGAAATATGTACATGTTCACAGAAATTGTAAAATAACCTATGTCAGTTTGAAAATAGGTTTGTTTGTTAAAAAAAAAAACAAGTTGTGACAACCCAACTTACAGTTTCCAACACTTTTCTGTAATTGAAGATATTGTAAAACTTTAGTTATAGGATACATCTCTTGCTAGAAGCAGACGTTAAGCACCCCTATAACACTTATCATTTATTTAAAAAGTTCCCATAGCTTACAATTACTGCGGTTTTTGCTGTTATATGTGTAGAAAAACTTTTAGCTTCTTGTGCATATTGGAGTCATTTTCATGTTCCAATTGTAATATATAACTTTGGCATTTATTTCCACCAACAATAACATGTTTCTAAAATGATGTATAATGTCACGACATTTATCTTGTAATATATGGTATTCACTATAATTTTAGGAAAGAGTATTCAAATTTTGTTATGTTAATACAATTTGGTATATGCCAGATTGCATTTAATTAGATGTAATTTTTACCTTTGATCTGTAATCAACAATAGACACATTATTTTCTGGCACTAATTAGAGATTTGGGGGGACAAACTCCGACCTTGTACTATATTTGGTCAATTTTCATTGAAAAGTTTATGATTGGCAATGCTTACTTTATTCCCTTCATCAATTTGATTTAAACTTAAGAAAGAAAGCCAATTGTTTCTATTTTATATTCTAGCATCCATGATAAAGCAGTAATCATAAGTTGTCAATTTGATCATTAAATAGTTCACCAAATACAAAATGAAAAGCAACATTAAATTTCTTGTAAAAGAAAAATGGTTGCAATGAAATTATTTTGAAATTTAAAAGTTTAATTGTTTGGTTTCCTATACAACAAGAACTAGCCGACAAACATTGTTTTCAGATCCATAATTGAATATTTTATCTTTATAATATGTAAATATTGAATAAATATTGTTAGAAAAAAAACCCAAACAAAAACAAACAAAAAAACATTTTCTTTTACATATACATATAATAGATATAATATTTAGGATTACCTTTGTCTGTCCAAATCTAAATAAGGATTTACCAAAACATGAAAATATGGCACAAGATTTCCCTAAATTCTGTATCAGTAATTGGAGACAAAAACCTATGTATCTTGATAGTACATCTTTGAATTAACTCCAGTTTTTACAACTATCAATATGAACATATTCAAACTAACTGCATAGTCAAGTCAATTAAAATATTATTTACAGATATTGTCAGAAACTTGAATAAGTTACAGCATAACATTAATATGTTCATGGTAGCATCAGTTCCATTATATATGTTTCCTTTAAAGAGCCACAATATGATAGTAGTTGGTCATTTTTATTTGGCAACAATCTTATGTATTAAAATTTTATTTGTTTTAATTAGTTGTCAAGATATTTCCATTTGAAAAGATATTGAGGTGACTCCTGTAAAAAATAATGATCACATGAAATTAATTCCTCTCTCAGAAACAGTTGTGAGTTACTAAAAACATATAAACTGCCAGAATAACTCCAAAGAGGTCTTCTTCCTTTAAACAAAAGTATTTATTTTGATCCATTCCTTGACATAAATAAATGAAAGTTATAAAATTATGGCCTGGGATTGAGATGTTCTAAAGTAACTTTAAATTACCCAGAACAGGATGCAGCTTTCCATTATGGTACGAACAAAAAAATGTATATCATTTTGATAATTTATGAATTATTGCCTTGTGATTCTTTCTGTTTATGTTGTTTAATATAGGCCTATATTTTTATTAGAAATATATATTTCTTGAATAGTAAAACACAGACAATTAACAAAGTTCTGAACTCAAGGATCTGAAGACAGGCTCAAATGATTCATTTTAAATAAAAGAGAAAAATTTGGAACAATAGCCAAGTTTGTAAAAACATAGCATCAATAAGGCAAGTATTGATTCACAATAAAAGTTGATTGATGTGTGTCGCACGGAAAATATTAAATATTAGTCTTCAGTTTTATGATGAATTTGGTTCTTGATTCAGACTAGCAAAAATCATTACCGTTCATTGTTAGCCTGAACACAGAAGTGACTTTGATGTCCAACAATACTCTTAATAACACCATATTAACACATCACAAGACTTAAAGTGACATGAGCATTCATATATCCGTAAATAGAGAATTCATCAGATCAAAAGAAATGTGCAATATTAAAGTATTTTGTACTAAAATACACCCACTTGTTTTATTTTTAGACTATTTATTTCTTGAAATTGTTATTGGCATTGATATTAATAGATCCATGTTTATGCTGAAAAACAAGTATTCAAGTGATTACTTTTTTTTTAAAAACCAACTTGAAAGTTATGAATTGCATTTCCTGTAAGGAAAAATTGTGTTTCAAGTTTCCAAGAATAATAAATAGCATGGCTAGTGCTTTTTGCTGATATGAAGATAGGTCCAAGTGAATGTAAAAATCATAAGTAGAATACTCCAATTCACATTTTTGGTGAATAATTAATTTTGGATACTATATTCATGTTTCAGATATAGGAGATATAAAACTTGTGATATATACTGTATATATATGACTACCAGATTATTGTTGTATAAAAGCTCTATATACATGTACATATTTGATTAAATTCATATGATGATACTCTAAACATATAGACAAGAACAGACTGCAGAAGTAAGAATGCAGGGGTACCCCTAGATGTACTGTAGACAGCTGTTGAATTTTGTCATGTATTAGAAATAGATGTACATGAACATCATCTTTTACTTGATAAGTAGCACAGTTTATATATTTATAGCCAACATATTTATCAGTAAGGTCCAACACATATCTCTGCACGATTTGCCATTGGAATACTTTCTGACTTTTCATATAAAGCTCTTTATTTAGCTTATGGTACTTCAGTGGTTTTGTTTAGCACTTATTGGGACTAAATGTTGATAATTTAACTTTACACTAAACTTTTAATATTTCTAAAAAAAAATGGGGTTTTAGCCAAGTTCCGTGTATTCATCCTCAGAAACATTACTATTTTGCATTTTTGATCACTTTTGATATTCTATTCCCCTGTTCCTTAAAAATTTCAGTCTGATTTTTGTAAATCAGATCAATTCATTGGTCTGTAGTTGAGATTTTATAGAAGTCTGAGAAATTACTTTGTAAATCGTTGGTTAATGCTTGTTCATTCTCTGTTACCCCATTTACACTGGGATCCACGCACTGCGCCCGATCCAAACCTTGCACAGAATACATCATAATGTGCATATGTACTTCAGTAACTGGGCATTCCAAGGCCGATTTCAATATACATCAACAAGATTTTAACTTTAACTAAACTATCCTGGATCCAAGGTCTCAAAAACTACCTGACTTTGGTGTGCCAGTTCTAGCTGGTCTAGACTGATAATAGTTCCAAGCTTTTTACACTAGAGAATTTAGCAGTATGAATACTGGCCCTGACTCGGTACAATTCCATTGCAAATCAATTAACCCTAAAATCAGTTAACCTAACATTCAGATATCTTTCCCTGTACTAGAATCAGAACATAATTTTTGAAATGCATGTCATATCCATGGGCTGCAGGATTCCTGAGTATTAACCAATTAAGAATCTTATAGGCTTTCATAAAGAGAAATGGCTGCTTACTTGGAAAATTAACTTGGGGAAAATTCTGAGTTATTTTCATGTTGTATATTTCAACTGTTCATATTTATGTGGCTATCTGTGTCATGTATGTGACATGTTTCTCTTGTAAAATTCTTAAAAATCATACACAATGTAAAAAGATCAAAGCATTCATCCACCTGTAAATTTCATAATTGCTCTATTTTTTTGGAATTTATTAACCTTCATGAGTAAATTATCTTACAGGATGTACCAGTTTTCTCAATTTAATTATCATATTTTTTTATTAATGTGACAACTTTCATAATATGCTACATTAAATATCACTTTTCTATGTAAAATATATTTAATGGATATACCTGTACAACATTTATTATAATATACATCAACTTTTAGTTAAAGAGAAAGACTAATATCAAACTGTTCTATGGTAGACATCAGGCAAAAAAAAAATTGTTTGGTTCAGGGTTTTTTTTAGGTCATTTGGGACGAAAAACATTTATTTTTGTATTTTTATTTTATTCAGAACAATGAACCAAATTATTCTATAGCCTTATTTTTTGTACCATATGGGCTCTGGCTGGCTGGTTTCTAAGTGTAATGATGTGAAAGTAACACATATCTGAGACTGTCTTGTATTTACCGGTAGTTAAAAGTTCAGGGTTTGTTTTTTCATACCCCTCCTTAACACAATAGAAATACACATAGTACATAAGGTCTGCACATATGTAACATCCTGTCTTTAGACTTACCAAATATGTTTGGCTGTGACTAAGAGTGTTATTATTTTTACGGGCGAAAAGGGAACAATATTGACAAATTAAGCAAAATGTTTACAAGAATCAAATGATTATGATATCTAACAATGATTCTGAGCTAATCCAAACTCAAGAGAGTCTGAGTTTTGTAACGATCATCTATTTTCTGTTGTTACTATGTTGTAAAATAGAAATTTGGCATTACAGAGCACACTTCTGTAAATATTATGTGGACTAGGAGTTATATCCCCTGGAAATTGCTGGAAAATTTCAAAGATTTTCTTCAAAATTTTATAGGGTTTAATTTATTGTATGTAATCTACTATTGAAGTCATTTGGCAGGTAAATAAAACGTTTTTTTGGTGCAAAATCATAAAGAAAAATAATTTTTAGCATGGAAAGCTTTGCCAAAAACCTGAACCAAACAAATTTATTGATGGGCTATATCCTTGAAGACACCAAGAGAATCATTGTTATTTTAATTTGTTCAAATTTTTAAACAGTAGAAATTAATATCTTGAAATTCTTTGTATGACTATGAACCTTATATGTCATTGAGACATCTATAGAAGAGCTAGTTTTAAAAAAAAAACACTGTGAATTTTAAACCAGGAGAGTTTACATGATCTAAACCAGGTGAAATGTTCTGGCATTTAATATAACCATTCCTTAAGCCTTACTAGAGGGTCCGTTGCTTCTTGCAAGATATCATTGACAAATTATGCTTGTTCCGTCATTAGCCTTACCCACCACTAGATTGAATGATCTGTTTCGTCCACGAAATGTATTCTAGTCCTGTCAGTTTGAATGCAGACTATTTGGTTCAGGTTAATATCAAGGAGAAGGTAGGCCATGTTAAAGACAACCAATAATCAAATTTAACTTATCATGATATCGATTTCAAAAATAAGTCTCTTAAAACCTTTATAGACCTGCCGGTAGCAAAGTTCTAACCCCTTGGTTAGGGGGGAGGATTTTCTTATCTTATCCAAACAGGAATTGTTTTTACCATTATAAAAGTATAAAGAGGAATTCCATCTGCTACACATTTCAAGATAGCAGTAATGTCTGCCTTCTCTTGTTCTCTAGACAGAATGGTAATCAGATCTGTTGACTTATCAAGACTCTCAACAAATCACTCTTTCTCTCTATACCTTGCCTAACTTTATTTTCTTTTTTCATCAAAAGGCTGAGAATATATTAACTCTTCTTTTAAAATGTAGTCAATGTGTAAGGAAGGATGAGACGCTATGTGTATGTTGTGTATATCAGTTGATTCAGTCAATTTACAATAAAACCCAATTCTTTTAATATTTGCATGGACAAACAGGGTTATGTATGATTTATGTGCGTTACATATTGGTGAGTTGTTAAACAATATTTGTCCATTTTGTTTTGTGTGTAATGTGGTCCTCTTGCACTTATCATACATACAACTGGTCTAAGGTCAGATTATTGGTATTAAAATTATAAATATGTTTATCGCTACCAATTATTGTTTAGTTCTATGTTCTTTTTGCCATTACTGATTCTGGTACTTGTCTAAATGGGGGGGATTGGGTGGCCGAGTTCTAAAAAGCATGTTGTATATCATTTGACCAGTTATCAGTGGCAGTTGTTGCAAGGAGTAGAGCCTTCTGCCCAACCTTTTTTTGTGTGTTTTCCTGTTTTCTCCCACTTTTAAGACCCTTATCCACATAGCCAACATACTTAGTGAGTGTTAAGTGTGGATCTATCTCTCTCTCTCAATAGATTACAATTTAGATAAAAAAATATTTAATGTGCTTGATAAAGGTTGTAGTATGAGTTTTCACACTCCAGAGATGCTATAGACTAATCTCTGATGGTTGTGTTTTATCAAATAAATTGATATATTAGTAGAAAGTGTAAAGCAATCATTTATACATGTGTAGGTGCCAAATTGCCAAATCTACCAACAGTTATTTATATATTCAACATTCTTTTCAAATACACCAGAGTATGAACTCAACTACAAGTACCTTTGTATTGTATTGGAAGGTTTTTTTTGTAGTTTTATTTTATCAGTCAATCTGTTACTAGTAAGTGTGTGGTCTAAATTGTTGTCAGGATTATATCTTTATGTTCATATGATGTTATCACATCATCTTTATTATACTTTGTTCATCAATTTATTGTTTCAGTTTCAAAATGACATAAACAAATTTGTTCAGGCTTAAAGCAATTTTTTAACAAGAATATTTTTAGCCAGGATTAAATAATTTCCATGAATTTTTTTGTATTGTCACATTTCTGAAAACACTCTGATGATTTAATAGTTTGACATACTGAATCCCATTTTTCAGTGATTAAGGAATAAAATGTTAAAAACATAACCTATTATAGGTTTTATATTTTAATTTGTTTAAAGTTTTAGGAGAGTAAGTAATATGCACTTATGAGTTTGTTTAAAGGTTTTACAAGGTTGGAATATTTATCAACAAATTGACGGAAGTAACCTGTTAAATTCCTGAAGTGTTTTAGGATGTTCTGTAACTCCATTCTCTGACACGATATGTTGTAAATTTTATTTAAAGTAATTCAACGATTCCTAAATCTGGACCATGGACAATAAGCTCATCTAAACAGTGTTATATCAAACTATGTTTTTTACACTGCAACATTTCAACAAGTCATTTTTAAGCCAAAAACTAATGTATGAAATATATTCATTATGTTTTTGCTTCAGAACTACTTGTGAAATCTTGTTGAAACTTTGTAGTGTAGATAAACAGTGATTGTATCCATACCAAGTATTATAAATGTTAAATGCTTCTCAAAGATTATCAACTTAAAGATCATGCATATTCAGCCTCTTCCTGTCATATTATGTAATAAAATTCTAAATTGATAACTTTTATTTTTCTGCTTACATTTTACTATTTTCTTCTTTTTTTTCAGCTTGAAGTCAAAGCAAGATGGCAGTGATCAACTTGTTGATATTCTCCCTTCTTCTGTCTGATTGTGTGGCACTGAAAATTCTTCACAGTTTTAGAGATCCAGACAGCAACCAGTTCACAAAACTAGTCATAAATAAACAAACAGGCCATGTCTTTCTTGGTGCCTTAAACAGACTTCATAAACTAACACCTAATCTAGAAATAAAACATAGTGCTTCTTCAGGACCAAGAATGGACAACCCCAATTGTCCCCCTCCAATTATGCCTTGTTCGGAGGATAAAGTGGAATTGAACAGTCAAATAAAGGGATTAGTAATCGACTATTCATCTAACTCTTTAATAATGTGTTCATCATTGTTTCATGGATCGTGTCAGATATTAGCTTTAAACAATATTACCCATGTCAAGAAGTTCGTTCATAGACCTTTAGTACCAAATAATCATTTTCAAAGTTTTATGTTTATAGCTCCAAGCATCAACAATAGTCAGGCTTTATATATTGCTAATACTTACAGTAATTACGGTAATAAAGCTTATCGTGATTTAGTGCCCAGCATCAGTAGTAACCAACTCGATAGCCTAGATCTCATGTATAGGGACTCACAGGGTGCTACCAAACTAAGCATCCGAAAACAGTATCGGAAAAGCTTTATTGTTCGACATTTATATGGATTTTCTACTGGAAAGTTTGTTTATTTTGTCACACTGCAAAAAGAAAAGCCTGGATCTAAGAAATTTGTGAGTAGAATTAACCGGTTGTGTCAGACGGATAAATATTTCCGTTCTTTTGTGGAGGTACCTCTTCAGTGTGAAGGACCAAATGGTGAAGCTTATGATATTTTTGATGGTGGTCATTTTAAAAATGATGTACTCTATGCCAGTTTTTCTGATACATTCAATACGAATGATAAAACTAAAGCAGCCATATGTAAATATTCCATCCAGGATATTGATGCCATGTTTGATGAGACAGTTACCAATTGTTACCAGGGTAATGGTAAAATAGGACCAGAGCATTATATACAGAAACATGACTGTTCACCCTCGGTAAGTAATTTCGTTAATATTTGAAATACCACCCCTTCTATGGTACCCCATCTTCAATAGAAGGCTTGATCTCGCCTTAACTACGTACATCTTATCAAGCCCTTCACGTAATACCCCGCATATTTTAGCACTAATTTTGATTGGGTATAAGCCCAGCTTGTGATCCTATCAGATTCCTTCGTTAAAAATATCGTTACGATTATCAAGTCTCGCGCTTCTAGCTAAATGTCTACATGTGACAATCGAGTTGCAAAGTTCAAGGTTCGATCAATGTCAAGGTTGCTGGAAATCATGGTTGATCAACAAAGGCTGTAAACTTGTCTATTTCTTTTTATACGTCCACATTCATAATGTGAACGTATTATGCCGTCGCCCCTGTCTGTGTGTGTGTGTGTGTGTATGTATGTATGTGTGTGTGTGTATGTGTGTGTGTGTGTGTGTGTGTGTCTGTGGTTCGCCTACAGGGCGCAATTCTTCATGGATTTTCTTCAAACTTGGTATACTTATTCCTTATACCCCAAGGAAGATCCCTATTGTTTTTGGTGCATGCCCGACCCCCCGGGGCAGAGCCACGCCCATTTCTAGTATTTGTTTGTTTGTCGTCTACAGGCCACATTTCTTAACTAATAATCTTGAAACTTTGCATACACATTCTTTGTACCCTAAGGAACATCCCTATCGTTTGGGGTGCATGCCCAACCCCCAGGGGCAGAGCCACGCCCATTTTCTTTTCGTGTGTCTTTGTGTCGCCTACAGGGCGCAATTCTTACTGGATTTTCTTCAAACTTGGTATACTTATTCCTTATACCCCAAGGAAGATCCCTATTGTTTTTGGTGCATGCCCGACCCCCAGGGGCAGAGCCACGCCCATTTCTAGTTGCCTTTAACGTACAAAGGCCACAATTCTGAATGGATTATCTTGGAACTTGGTGTATTTATTCCTTAGACCCTTAGGAAGGCAACTATTGATGTTGCCATTTCAATAACAGGATGGTTTCTATTTATATTGTTTCCATATCCAACCCCCATGGGCAGAGCCACGCCCAGTTTTTGTATTTATCGTCTACAGGCTGCAATTCTGAATGGATCATCTTGAAATGTGCATATTTATTCCTTATACCATAAAGACAGCAACTATTTATTTTGATACTTGCCCCGACCTCCTGGGGCCGTGTCACACCCACTTTATTGTTAGTATTTTGTCTGTAAATTTGGCAAAACAAACCCGACGCCTAGCCTTCTTTGCCTCTGATCATATTACAGCCATTTCATATTTCATTCTCTTCATTTTAAAAAGTACCATATCAATCAAAGCTGGAATGTGGACGTATATTGCAGCGTTAGTGATGCTCTTGTTCTATGGAGGCCGCCATATTTGTTTACAGTGTGTTATGTGCCACGACTTCTGATTGGACAATGCTAATTAGTCAGTGTAAACACAACAAGCGCAAAAATTTGGGAATTGTTGAGTACTGAAGCAACGGCTAGATGTTGTAAAACTCGCGGTCGTTGCTTCAGGAACATGATGGTACCCTTGCTACGACTTCATACTGCATGAACCATTTTCTGAGCAAGAAATTCATTATTAGTCAATTGTTAGCAGAGGATTGAATCCAAATGATATATTTCTACATACTTCTATTGGCACAACAATTATTTTTTCTTTCAAAATTTCATGTCGATGTATGATTCTTCGCAAATAAAGATTGGCCAGTCCTCTGCTTGGGTGTCATTGTTCTGGCTAATTATACACAGAACAAGAGCTAGACCTGTTGAATGTGACCACATGTAGAATATGAACTATGGCAGCCATATCATGCCATGGTCACAAATTGTAGTGCTTGACCTTTTATCAATAGACCATAAACATTAGGATGCTACTGAACCGTTCTAATGTTGTGGTAATATAAATAAAGTCACCTATGGTGGTCAGACCATATATGCTGACTGAGAGAATCGTCCCTAAAGGAGCTGTATTGATCATCCCTTTAAATATCAGTAATGGCCCAGCATTCTGTGTCTTTATTTTGTATTGGTATCATGATTATTTGTATGCATCAACCGGGCATATTTGCTGAGCAGTATGCGATGAGAGAAATTTTACTCTGTCTACGATGTATATAAAGGACTGACTAGATGCTTTTCCTGGCCAGATTCTCATTGCCTCACTACTGACATGGGGAAACCAGATTGAAAAATCCTAGATATCCTTGTTAGTGGGCCAGTACCGTACTCCTGATCCACCATGGTTCCAGGTAACCGATTATAAGTTATAGTGTTGTTAGTTTGACCAGAACTACAATTGGACCAGTAAAATAGAAGAGAAGCACAAATCATCCTAGACAGATGACTTCAAAATTATTATTGAGTTTTTGGGATGGTCAAAGATTCATTAAAGAATGCATTTAATCAGTGCTAGACATGAGAAAATTGAAATAATCAGTGCAATTTGGTAATGCATAGGGGAATTAATTGCGGACAAAACTAAGGGTTTTTAGACCTAACTGATATTATGCTGCAATTTTCTTATCCAAAAGGTTCCAAGTGTGCTGTCCATATTTACTTCTTGTATGAATGTTCTGAAGAAAAAATATTACAATTTTCCTAAAATTTTATAAAATATGATAAAAGATAAAGTTGGTCCTTTAAGATTGCATGAATCTGGATAAAGTAGAAGAAAGATGGCATATTTAGAAGATCTAAGAGCATTTTACATTAAGATGAATGGTCAATTAATATCATGATAGACAGTTGTATGGCCCCATCTGGTAATGAATGGCAACATGAAATGTAATAAACACAAAAATGTGTACTATCATCAGAGAAATGCATAAACCCTTAAACCATAAGAATTAGAATTATGATCCATGCATGTCAAATAGTGTCAAAGTGTCCCCTTGTATTGACATGCTCCTTGTGACCTGTACTGAGTCAGGCTCGTATTTTGTCAAACTAACTACTCTACTGGCTTCTTTATGTCCTAACCAACTGATTACAGATCCTACTCCTCTCTTGGGGATAATGATTACGTCCAGATACAATGTTACTCATTTCTGTTACATCAGTTTTATGTCCAGAAATCTAGAATCTTCGCTTTGAGCATCACTTACGACACATTAGGCAAATCTTTTCGACTGTCATTTATAGCAATAACCCATTTAAATGCTGAAATCATTTCAAGCTTTCATTAATTTTATGTCTTCAGAGTCTTTGCCTCTCGTTTTTTTCCAAAGCACTTTAATTATTATACATAGATACGGTAAGGATAAAACTTAGACAGCCATAAAAAAATAGTGTTTTTTTCGCTTGCAGACCAATTTTAAGATGAAAGGAAATTATGAGTTTTTCTAGACATTCCTCAACTAGTCTTGTGTATGATTATTTGTAGTATTGGATCGTGATTGCAAATTTTTATGATTGCTTTATCGGGAAAAGCTTACAGATTTATTACAAATAAAATAAATTTTAGTTTTTGTATTCTTTGAAGTGATGAAAATCTGATTTTTTAAACAATAATTCACAAGAAATAAAATGAGTTACTCATTAATGATATTGCTTTTGTGATTTAGAAGATTTTCTTTGTTTTGTATTGAACAAGAATACAGTTAGTCTTTTTGTAACTTTTTGGAATTCATTATTCAAATTACTATATCTTTTTTGTGTACCGTCATTGCAGCTAAGTTTGATTTTTGTTCTTCATTACTGCCCATTTTTATACTCTAGCATTTAATGTGGACATTCTTGTCATCACCCAAGCTCTATAAGACAAATTTTTCAAGGACATGATACGGGACAGCATTCCTGATCAAACTTTTTAAAACTTAGTTGTGATTGTTCATAAAGGGAAAAGGAATCAAATTTAAAAAAATATTGGATAGTAAATTTCAAACACATTTTGCAGAGTTATTTTTCCATTCACATTCTGACTTTTAAAGGTTCTAAATACACTGGTTAGAGGAACCTTTTAAAATTTGAAATACAATTATGTCGCCTGTAAGATTAAAAAATTCTTCTAGTGGAGTTACCCTTTCTGTTCACATCTTATGAATGTCATATACGACAGAGGTCTCTATTGAATTTTTTAAAATTTATGTTATTTGCATTTACATTGAATTTAGTGCAACTTCGGATAAATTTTCACGATGTTTTTGTTTATTAATCAGTTTATTAAAAATCATTGTAATTTTTTTTTGTCTGATTGATCTTCTTAAATAGGTCCTGCATATAAAGACATTGATAAAAGTTTAAAGATTTTAACACTGTGTCTAATTGTCAATAAAACAAACATATAGATACAACCTGTGAGTTAAAGATACATTCCCGCGTACATACTGGGTGATTTAATGGTATATATGGGCTAAAAACATATTCAAATTAATTAATTTGTCATAATTTTGCTTCAAATCCTTCTCAAACATTGTAATTGCGAAGGAATGCCCTGCTATAAAAATTTGATCAAACCACGTCATGTTTACGTCACATGACTTACCTCTCTTGGAAGTCAGAGGAGAATTCATTGCATACATAAGACGATGTTGTCTTTAATCGCTTACTATTTATTACAAATATAGAATCCTAATTAAATTCTTGGATTATCCACTACTCGCGTCTTTTCCCGTAATTTTTATCTCAGAAAGGGCTGTACGTCTAACTCTTCATAAAGTTTATCAACTTGTATATCAAGCGCTCAATGTTCGCGTGTGACCTTTGACATCACGCGTTCAGAAATTCCTAATCGCCGGGCTGTCGATTAGGGGAACCTTTACATTTTTGTCCTGTATACACTCCATGAGTGTTTTTCGGGGAATCCAGTATTTTTCTAGTAGGTTTGGATATCTCTACTTTCCATATACAGTATACCAAAATTGCCATACTTTTATTGGAAATAACCACCCGATAAATACTTTTCTGGGAACCCATCTTGAAAACTGCAATCCGAAATTAATTTTAAAGAGAAAATAGTTTTGTGTTAAAAGACAGGAATTACTAGGTTTGCATCA